AAGCTCTGACATCAACAAGTCAGGAGACCCTCCTGTTAAAAGGTTCCATCAGCTTTCTGCTGCAATTGTCACAGCAACTTGATTTTTCCGTAAATGTACCTACTCTGCCCCATGGGCTAATGGCGCAATTGAGTCCTCACCCGGGGGAAACAACATGCTACCACTGAGGGATCTCAGGGATTCTGCCAGCATCAGAGCACACTGAAGCCGGGAGGTATAAGGAAGGTTTCTCTCCAAATAATTTGTTGTAATTTCTTTTCCATGGGTCCATAAAATCTAGGTACTTACTAAATATGCATGCCAGTGTCCCAATTTCCCGGACTTTCATGAAAGAACATCCTTTATTTAACCCCAGCCAGCTATTCTGACCTCATTTTCCGTGTCTTCTCCTCTGTTCTTATACCTAAACTACATTTGAAGCAATATAAAACCTCTCCCTTTGGCGCCTGGGTGGCTCAGTCAGTTGAGCATCTGCCTTTGGCTCAGGTCATGATCTCAGGGTCCAGGGATAGAGCCCCATGTTGGGGTCCCCACTCAGTGAGGAGTCTGTTGGTCCCTCTGCCCCTCCCCCCTGCTCATACTCTCTCTCCCTCTCTCTCTGAGATAAGTAAAATCTTTAAAAAAAATTTTAAATGAAACCTCTCCCTCTTCACAAGTTCCTTCCCCTGTACTTCAAAACATGCTGTCATCTCAAACTTCTTAAATACAGAAAATCATCTGTTGAGAACCTAACATGAGCCAGGCACTGTTCTAGGCACATTTCACATTATTATCTCATTTAATTTTCACAAGGAAGGTTGTATTACCCCATGTTACAAATGAGAAAACTAAGGTTTATGATTTCAAGTAATTACCCAGAGGAGCATGGCCAGTATATTGCCTGTGTCATGCCTGCCTTCCCAAAGCATCTCTCTAATGCGTGGGCTCCTCTCCTTACCACCCACCCATTTCTCAACTTCATCTCTCTCCCTATTACCCTACTCACATTGTTCGCCTTAAGGTCATCAAATGACCTAATTTTGAAATTTAATGAGCTCTGGAGGTCCTACTTATTTGACCTTGTTTTGTATTTTATTTTTCCTTACATTTATAAGATTTTATATTATTTTTATTTACTCTTCCTTGTTTATAGACTACTCTTTTTGTTGAATGTCCCTCCGGCTTTCATTGCATGAAACCCTTCTCTCCAACTTCTTTGGACCCCTCTCTGTCTCTGTCATTGGTTTTTATTCTTTCACAGGCCCTTTACATTTTGCTATTTCCTGGCTTGTACCTTCTACATTCTTTCCATGAGTAAATATCTCCACTCTCATCAACTTAGGTACCAAATATCTCCAGTTTCCCATCCCTCTCCCATGTTCCAGATTCACACTTGCACCTCCTTCCTGGAGAACATCATGCTGTGCCATCAAAGAATCACAAGCTCCACATCAGATATCTTATCTCTTTCTATCACTTCCTGAAACCTATTATTTTCCCCTCAGTTAATGATATCAACATTCATCCAATTTCCCTGGTTAGAAATTTCATCCATCCTTGACTTTTCCCATATAGGTCAATGAACAAATCCAGTTAATTCTACCCTGTAAGTTCTTTTTATTCCCACTGTTCCTGCCCGAGCTACAGGCTTTATCATAGGTCTTTCAGCCAAATTACTCTGTTTGTATGTGAATAATCACCTCTCTTTTAACGCTAATATTATCCCTAGGTAAGACAGTTCTCAGAACTTTACATCAATATTCAAGATGCCAACACTCAAAAACATTACTCTTTCTCGGGGCGCCTGGGTGGCTCAGTCGTTAAGCGTCTGCCTTCGGCTCAGGTCATGATCCCAGGGTCCTGGGATCGAGCCCCACATCGGGCTCTCCGCTCAGCGGGGAGCCTGCTTCTCCCTCTCCCACTCCCCCTGCTTGTGTTCCCTCTCTCGCTGTGTCTCTCTCTGTCAAAAAATAAATAAAATGTTTAAAAAAAAAAAACATTACTCTTTCTTTCTGAATTTTACTTGAGAGGATTTTGATTCAACTGCTTATTTTATCCAGCATTTTTACTTTTGACCTTTAAATTTTTTAATTGTCTAGTGATTTTTTAACATAATGCACTTTTATTTAAATATGCCACTTCAATGAAAGTATTTGGAGTATACACATATTCAACCCAATATTTATATTGACTATGTTCATGATAATATAGTAACCATTGCAGGGAACAAAATGTTTAATAAAAATGGATTTAACATGGACTTTACTTCTAAAGACTTAACAATCTGCTAGGGGAGATAAAGCATGCACTTAAATAGTTATAATACATGCTGAAATAGGATAACTGTCATAAAAGATGTACAGAAAAAAAGCTATCAGAATCATATGGAGGGATAGTTTATTTTGACTCAGAGAACCAAAGCTGACTTCATAAAGGAATCAATGTCTGTGCAGGGATTTCAAAGATGTGAGCTCTTAAATATTTATTCCTTTTACATACCTTATTGAACCTCACCTATATGCCAGATACTGTACTAAGTGCTGGCGACACAGAAATAAATGAGACAGACCTTGACTTAAATTGTTCTCTGTCTAGTGAGGAAGAAAGATAATCTGTTATTACAACAGGGTGAAAAGGAGTTATAACGGAGATTTTCTAAAAAGGCTAAAAAACTATACGGAAGATGGTACAGATGGAGAAGACCTAACTCCTCTTCAAAGGGAATGTCTCCAGAAAGAGGCACCACTTGAACTGAGCTTAGAGGATCGAGTGGCCTAAATAAAAATGGAGATAGGTCTGGGGAAGAAAGAAGTTGTATACACAGAGGAGTCAAGGGCTCAGGGATGGAAAAGTATGAAGTATGTACTTTTGTGGTAGTTCAGCAGAGCTGAAGAAGAGAGGCAGAAGATGTGGATAGAAAATGACATCTAGGCTAGTTTATGGAAAGGTTAAAAGCCAGAGCAGAAACTGAAGGCATCTCTTAGAATAGCTTACTAAATTACGGCTGACTAATAGTGCTAACTTATGGACCATTCTATACATGGATTCATTTTTACCAGGTAGACCAGAAATTCACTTAAATGACTACATTTCTGATTGAAAAGTAGATGGTGTTGGCATTAAGTAATCCAATCAGGGATATTCTTTAGACTTGTTGCTTCTACTACTGACTACATGAAAATTCTCAGAGTGCCTTCTTCGGTTCTCTGGTCATTACTCTGTGGTTGACATTTGTGGTTAACAATTACCGCATTCTTATTTCATCTTATTTTTATTTGATGATGGCCTACTATTCATTACTCAAATGGATTATTATAGGAAATTGAAATAGGAACAATGGCTACTCCCAAACATTTCAAGATCTAGTATTCCCGCATTAGTGGTAACCATCATTTTCAGCCACTGCTAATGAATTAGGTTGAACTCTGAACTCCAAACTTTCATTTGGAGCTTTGATAACATCAACTATAACCTACGGCCATATAACTCTTTTTTGGACAAAAGATTCCACAGTGTGTGTTCAGGCTCTAGTTTACTTCTGTCTATTTAGTCACATAAAAACAAATTAAATGACCAACTCAAGGAAAGAAATCTAACAACTGGGGTAAAAAAATAAAGCAAAAATCCAAAAATTGCTTCATTGAGAATATTTTCTTTGTTTACTTACATTTGTTATTATCACACCTACATGTTCTTCTCCAAGGGGCCACATCAAATTACCCTCCCCTGACTTTGGAAACCCCCATGTCTCCAACTTGGTTATTCCATCATCTTTCCCAAAGCAAGAAAGAAATGTTTAAGCCTATCACTGCTTACTGAGAATATGTTTAATTATATTATTAGAACATTTCCAATAACTAACTGAACATAAATTTTGAGAAGAAATAAATGTTTTAGTTAAGTAGACTGAGGTGGGAGTACCCCAGGAAGAATCTTCTATCACGAAAAAGTGGCCTAAGGACACTGGATGCTTATAGGTGACATAAATTCAGCATCAGGAAGTCAGTGAAGGCTGCAGAAATGAAAACAGGGTGGCACCCTAAATAAGACACCTACTCTACAATTATGCATAGGTCCTAGCAGCACCAAAAGGCCAACTCACCAATAAAATGTTCTCCCAACTACTTTGGGACGCTTGCAAGTGCCTGATCTAGCAGATCCTAAACGGGACATCTTGGTACTAACACAAGCTTTCTCAGGAGAGCTCTGCATCCACTGTCTACTCCCAGAGCCAGGCTCTTCAGTCCTGACATTCTACCTATGCCTTGTCAGAGTCATTTTATCATTTCGTTACAACAAAGAGCCAACCAATGGCAAATTCTTCCTGTTTTTCCCTTCAAAAATCCCTCCCTAACCACTCCCTTTCTTTCCTACCATCACAGAAATGGGTCTTAAATAGGTTTTCCAACTTAAAGGAACTATTGGATTTTGTTGCTAAGTTTTGGGGTGGGAACTTCCCCCCATTTCACTGAGGCAACACCTGGCTAGTGGATTCCAGGATGACAACAGATAATTCTCCTTAAGACACACAGGCAAGAATTTTTTTTTTCTTACACCCTTATTTCCTAGCATATCCTTTTCCTATTCTTTCAGTAGTTTAAAAGTAATGTGCTTGTGTCTAATATCCAACAAATATCTTCCCACAGGATATTTCTCATGTCTGCAGTATACTTCTTGATGCACACAGCTAACCAAGCACTCTCTCCTAAGAAATACCCAGTATCAACCTTTTCCAAGAATTGTTCAAAAGTAAGAGACAACATTCTCTCAGATCCACCCTAGCTGAACATTTTACATTTTCTCTTCAGCCAATTCACAGTACAATTATATAATCTTTTTTGTCTTATGAATTTATTATCTATATTTACTCTGTGATGATTTATGATCTTAGGACTTGGGTTTTTTAATATCTTTTTCTTTGAGAGCTTTGTATGCCTCGAACAGGAAGGCATTTGCAGACAGCCTAGGATAAAGAGTATATAAACTTTTTTTTTTTCCTTATGACAAGAAGAAAAACTTACCTGCCTGTGCTTTTGCTGAGGAGCCATTCCATGAGACATTTCAGGATATGATGGGGCCTGGAGGTCTGTCCCTCGTGTTTTGGGACGCACCACATCAGAGACCAGACTGGAGGAAATTGCTAGAGTTTTGGGCCGAGAAATTGTGGTGCCCATCCCCTCAGGGGGGTCTTGTTCACCTTTTCCACTTGTAGCTTCATCTTCCCCTTCCGAGTCCACAATAAAGACATATTCAGCTTTGAAGAGGTCACTTTGCTGCATTCCTTGAAGTTCGTTTGCTTTAATTCCCCTCGCTTGTGAAATCTTTTCACTGCCCTCTGAAGGATAAATCAATGTCCCTTGGTTTCTCTCCCGTTGGCTCCCAGCATTCAAGATCAAGTACTCATTGGACTCAGACTGCAATTAATGTAGAGACATAAAAGCATTGGCATTGGTTTGACGATGGCTTCCTTTTTCCATGTATACTTAAAAGTTTAACCTGCTTATAATCTCCAAGGACAAGAATTTTTTAAATACATGTAAAATCAGGTGGGCTTAGGAGAGACTGGGTTGAAGTTAACGGTTTACTTTTACCAGCCCACTTGTTTGTCCTGGTTCAAGCCCAAACAATTTAGGGCTCAGAATCAACATCGAGTAAATCCGTTTTCAAATAAATCATGACATAATTCCTTTAAAAGAGATAGAGACAACAATGTTTCCCATGACGAAATTTGTGAAACAAATGGGGGTTGGTCAAGAGTTTAGTTATTGGTCAAGTAAAACCTGTCTATCCTATATCAGCCGGGAGAGAAAGGAAACCCCATTGAAAGTTTCTAAAATAATACAAATCTCTCTAAAATTCTGAGAGGAAAAATAAAATTGGGACAAAACATATGGATATTCAGACAAAACCATCCAAACTAACTGAAAAGAACTCAGGAATAAGACATCAAAAAAAAAGTAGGTATTTTTAGTACAAGGTATTTTTCACTGCTATTTTATTTTGTAATTCTAAATCTTTTCATCCAATTTTCTATGAGTACATAGAGGATTTACAAGACCAGAGTAAGACAGCTTTATCAGGCTACCAAACATCTTTTTCTAAAATGAGAGCAACACTGTACACTAAGATTGTGTTTAAAAGACCCAATGTTTATTTTTCTGGTTTTGATAACCACGCTGTGCTTACTATCCTTTTCTTTGCAACATTTCTTTAGGCCTAAAATTACTTCAGAATAAAAAGTTAAAGAAGACACTAAGGAGACCAAAATAAACTGAATTTCAACCACAGTGGTAAATGTAACATGGGCTATTTTGTGCATACATGTTGTGTGTGTGTGAAAATAGAGGTCAAACCACTGATAATATATAACTAACCTACGGAGATGATTTTATATACCCATTGCACATTTTTCAGCTGATGATGATTTACTCGAGATAAAACACAAACTTCCAATTAGGATTTCTTGGACAATGGCCATTTCACATTTTAAATTACAATACCAAATGGTAACAAAAACCTAAATTGGAAAGAAGTTTAAATTAAAAATAACAGGATTCCAAGACATTGCTTATTAAAAGGTGACAAAAATTGAACTAGTTTTTGAAAACATTATTAATGATCTAAAATAAATCCCTTCCCCTGTACTATTCCTTATATTCCACATATGAGTGAAACCATATGATAATTGTCTTTCTCTGCTTGACTGAAAAAAATATTCTGCACAGATTTGTCTATTCTCTAGAATTTATTTATTAAGTCATTGATTTATATCAGAAAAAAATAAAATAAAATAAAAACTCCCTTCTCCCATAGCCCATCACTCTCTATTCCTTTACTCTAATGTATTTTTTTACAACTTTATCGCTATCTGAGATTTTATTATATACTTTTCACTTTTTTTATTGTCTGTCTTCCCAAGAATGACTTATATGAGGTTGGCTTTATTCATTCAGAACATAGCACCAAGCACATAGTGTATTCAGTAAGTAGTGGTTGAATATATAAATGATCAAGGGATTATTTACCCTGTTCTATTATAATATTGAACTATTTAAAAAATAGGAAGAAAAATCTTGAATATTTTAAATACGTAGTTGTGTGTGATCATTGCAATCAGCAAATAAATATCAACCTCTTAGGAAGCTCTGGAGGTTTGCAACCAAGATGAATTCATACATCCACAGTCTCATGCGCTCATAGCACCTATCCAAAGCATCCCATAAATATACTACATAGAGTGGAGTACTGTTAGAGAAAAACTTCACAGAAATTCCTCTTGTAGCATTTAAGATCTCCCCCAAATAATTTGACCTCAATAGTCTTTGAAATAAGGTAGTAGCATCTGAAAGATTTTCAGTAGATCTGAAAAATCTCAGATCACAGATATATTACAACTTTCTGGATAAGATGTTTTCATACAGACAAGGTGAATCAGATAAATAACCCCCTTTTAGTGGTTCAAGAATGCCACAAAATCCCCCAGTCACATTTTATTCATAATCAGACAATACTAGAATACATTTTAAAGAGAAATGTCATTATTTCTCATTATACTCAAAATGTCATTATTCTAATGCAAGTCATTTTCAGGGTTTTTTTAAAGTTTGTTTTAATTTCATTGCCAGTCTTGGTCTCATTTTAGATAAGCATAATCAGCATATAAATATAATTTTATAACCAATTTTGTCTCTTACTGTTATAAAGTTAACATTTTCCATGGAATTACATAATCACTATAATTATAACTTTATGAAAATGATGTATTATCACACTTAAATTTTTTCTGATTGGTAGCTATTAGGCTATTTTTATTTTTCCCTGTTTTCCTACATAACATTTTTCTGCTTTTGTACTATTTCCTTGGAATACATTTCCAAGAGTTAGATTACTGAAAGGTTATGAACAGTTTTATGATTGTGGATAAGGGTTTTCCAACAAAATTGTACAAATTCACAAAGCTAGCTGCGAAGTGTGAGCATGTCAGTATCTTCACAACTACCCCAGCACTGGATATTGCACTTTTAAATTTTGCTAATTTATTGCATGTAAAACAACAATGCCTCACTCTTTTATCCTGTATTTTCGGTCAAGAAATTGACAGAAATTCAAACTTTTCAAGAAATTTTGTTTTTATTATTTTAAGACGTATTTGGGAAAAGAGGAAGTGACAGGAGGCAGAATGTGTCACATGAATAGCAAAGAATAGGATGTCAACTCAGAAGAGTTGAGAATAGTGTATTAAAGAGAAGGAGGGTCTGATAATGTTTGGGCTTCCATTATGCAGTTATATTTTTAGTCAAGCTTAGATTTCACAGTCATCTCACTTTATGCAAAGGAAAGAAACATTCATACAAATTTCCAAGTCATTCTTAAGGACAATTTAATGTTTAATATAAAATTGCTTAACACAAAGAAAGAACAAAAATAATCCTACCCTATTTACGGTTTCTGGATTCTTATCACTTGGTTCCTCAGGAATTTTAACAAGGAATTTAGAGGCGTCAGCCAACTTAGAGTGGGTTGGTAGTCTTCTGACAGTGGGGACAAATGTGAAGATCAGAGGTTTGGCTTCAGAATCACCAGAGGAGACCTATGAGACATGGAATAAATTAGACTTTCAATCTTGTCAAAGGTTTATCTTGACTTTATTTTCTATATACCATGATATTTACCTCATTTATTTTGATAAGTTGACTATTAACCTGTGATCATGTGTATGGTTGCCAAAGAAAAGAGCTATAAAAATAGTGATAGTGGATCAGATCCCTTTTTTAAATTACTCCATTTATCGGAAAAAGCAATACAACCCCAGAAAGATCCTATTGTAGGGTATGGCAACAAAACAGCGGATTGGCTAGTTGGTCTCTTGGAACATTAAAGGGCACCTCTACCTTCATAGGATCATCAAAAACACAGCATCTAGTCTGTTTCAAAATTGACTTTTATTCATTTAACCCTGGGTTAGCAGGTTCAATCTGACTCATAATCATCAAGCATGCAAGAAATTTCCAACATGTATCATTAATGAGAATACTAAAAAATGGATTTAAAATTGAAAGTATGCTTTTTTGGCTATCAGAATACCAATGCCTGTCCTTAAGGATATACTTTCTCTTTCATCCATGCTTTATTCATTCAAGAATGATTATGTTTAGTATTTGTGGTGGGGCAGGCACTCAGGAGCTAGGGATGGCATTGTGAATAGGAAATGGTCAATAGACCACACACAAGAAGAGAAAAGGGTATGCACAGAAGAGAAAGGAAAAGTGATGAGGGGTACCTGCCTACACACCCTGGGAAGCTCTGTAAAAGGCTACATCTGAAATGTAGGTCCCAGTGAAGAGGACAATAAAGATGTCCCAGGCTGAGAGAACAAGATGAGTGAAAGCATGGAAAGGCAGCAGCAGTGAGGTGTGTGGATCAAGCTTAGATCCTGTCGTATTGACAACGGAGAACCATTAGAGCAGTGTAAATTGGGAAGTGATGAAGTCATATTAGAATTCTAGACAAATAATTCTGGTTTTAAAAGACTCATGGCTAGTGACAAGCACAGAAAGCCAAGAGCAAGAGGTTGAGGACTACATGAAAGGGAAAAAGAGAAGAAGGTGCCATAAATTTCTCTTGCAAGAAATTTGGATGAGGAATAAGGAGGGATGTTGAGAGTAGTTAGCGAGGGAAGGAGAGTCAAAGAGCTGCCTGTGTTGGCATGTAATCGGATAGACTTGAACATGTCTGTAGACTGGGGGGAGGGATCAGGAGAGAAGGAAAGCAAAACAATGTCCTGGAAGAAGCTGGCCAAATAAGTTAAGGGAACAGGAGAAGGAACATGGCCTCCTTTGAGTCCAGAGAAAATGAACTAAGATACAGAAAAGCTCATGAATGTGGTGCACTGGGGAGCAGAAAGGTGGAGTGATCAACATGGATGATAAAATCAGCCCCATCTCATCAGAGTAACACTGCCCCTCTGTCACCTCCATGCCTCTGTCACAAGAAATATGATATGCCCTGGCAAGACCCTCGCTCTCCTCTCCCTTTAAGCCGTGCCCCCTTTCTATGCTTTGAACCCCTCAGACTTCACCTTGGCATTCCTTTTAACCCCAGCCATGTCAGCCCCTGTGAGAAACCCAAGCCTCAGAGTCATCCCACAATCCCTGTGTGCTACGCACACCCCTCGTTCTTTTCCCATCCGTGCCCTGTTCCAACACTTGAAGCCTTTCCACCATACACTTTCTGGTATTCAGTCAGCCACCACAAAATCCTCCATGTCCTTAACCTCTTCTCTAACTATCCTAGCTCTAACCAGACCCTGGCTTCCTCTGAAGGGCTTTGTCTCTAAGAAGGTACCTCGGTGGTAGCTGTTTTCTCTCACACTGGGCCTGGAAGTACAAGAGTATCCTTCTCACTCCCCTGTACTGTTTCCAGACCATTCCTCTTTCCTCTTACCTAGAAACTTCCAGATTTGAATCTCCTGTCATTTTAGTCTATACTCTTCACTGTCATCTGCCCACACCCAAATGAAGCCTTCTTTCTTTGAAGATTTAGTTCCTGGCTCAATTCCACTCTCTTTAATGCTATGCTTTGTGCAATACCCAACGTCATAGTCCATGGGTAATTTTCCTCATATTGTGTTGGCTGGGCCTCTACTCCTTTTTTGCCACTCAAATCCCTAGCCTCAACCAATACCCACAACCCCTATATAATGTCACCTTTCCATTCTCTGACCACCACTTCTTTTCTTTCCATACCTCCCTCTCATACTCCAACTCCAACATTTCTCAGAATTCACCAGAATGAAAATCTACTGATCCCCCAGCATTATATTGCCCCATATTTCTTTTTTTTAATCAGCCTCAGTGACTGCATTCACCACAGTTACCTCCATACATACTTCTCAAGTGCCTTGCCCTCTCACATCATTCCCTCCCATTTGGGTAAACCACCAGCCTCACTAAATCTAACCTCCTACCTTCTCTACTCCTGCACCACAAAGGTATGTGATTGGAGGAGATCACACAACTATGCTTCCTGGTTTCACTTCAGATTTAAGACTCTGAGCCCAAGCAGGCCCTTCAATCTTGCTCTATAAACATACGATAGCTACATAGCCCATTTACTCTCCCACTTGCCCAGAAAACTCATCCTCTCCTCTTTCTTCAAACCCCCAACATCTTCTTCCATGGCCTTACTCTGAGCTGATGACTTTGTTTCTCATTTCACTGACATAACTGAAGCAATCAGAAAAGAATTTCCAAGGTCCCCATAACCACATCTACTCACCCACCTGCATCTTTGTTCTCTTATGTGGCCTTAAGTCCTGCCACTATGTCCCTACTAAAATCAACTCTCACTTGAATATTTTGCCTTCTACTAACTTTCATTTATTCAACAAGGTGTCATTAAGTGCCTACTAAACACTAAGGCACCACTCTTAAGTGTTGGCGATGTAATGGCGAGCAAAAATCTTTACACTAATGGAATTTACATTCTAGAGGAGGATGTGGTAAACAAAATGAGTATGTAAACTATATAGTACTTATATAGTTATACGTTATGAAGACTGGCTATAAGGTTATTGCAATGACCCATGGGAGAGAAACGATAGGTTGAACTTGGGTTGCTATGGTAACCACAATAAGTGCTAAGATTCTGGCTATATATTTTTTAAGATTTTATTTATTTATTTTTGCGGGAGAGAGAGAAAGACAAGTGGGGGAGAGGGGCAGAGGGAGAAGCAGACTCCCCGCTGAGCAGGGTGCCTGATGCAGGACTCGATCCCAGGACGCTGGCATCATGACCTAAGCCAAAGGCAGATGTTTAACCAACTGAGACACCCAGGCGCCTCAGATTCTGGCTATATTTTAAAGGAAAACTTAGAATTTGCTTAAAAATTAAATGTGGGATATGAGATAGATAAGAATCAAGACGAATACAAAATTATTGACCTGAATAAGTGCAAGAAATGAGATTTTATTTACTAAAACAGGGGAAAAAAAAACAGGTGAAGCTAGTTTGAGAATAAAGATCAAATTTGATATGCCAAATATACACCCAAATGGAAATGTGGGTATGGTAGTCAAGTTTAGTCTGTCCTTAAGATAAAATTATTAGGGTTGTTAACTTATATGTGGTATTTAAAACCACAAGATCAGATGAGATCACCAAGGGAGTAAGCACAAATAAGAAACAAAGAGGTCCAAGTTTGAACCCTCCAGACTTGGAACATTAAGTGATCCAATAGCTAAGAAAGAACTAGCAAAGGTGACATGGGATTTTAAGGAAAATAAAAAAATCTGGAATGTCATTGACATCAATAGGAAAGATGCCTGACTATAAACAAAAGGATTGACAGGCTATGCTGAGGGCCCATGAATTTGTTGTAATGAAGCCAATTTGCTTGGCCGGTTGATATTCCCTCCAGAGATATTCAAACAGCCTCTCACAGGAACAGAGAAAGTCAACTGTAGCACTTACAGAGCTGGTGTTTGGAAATTGGAAAGGAAGTTGAGGAAATCGAGGGCCCCGGTGAGAGTAGAGCAAATGACCAAAATGGAGTGGAGTTTGGACAGGTCCAGGAGAGGGACCCTCAGAGTCAAGGGACCAGTGGTCTCTGAGGCTCAGAGAACAGATCTGATAGCATGGTGAGTGTCTGGGAGAATGGCTTGAGAGTGTAAGATTTAGAGGTATAGTAATTCAATGTAATCTAGGCTTTGGCCTGGAGACTGAGTATCTGAGAAGAAAAAACAGAAAAGGCTCTGAGCTTGTGAAGCTCAAGCAACTGTGAGGCAAGAAGGTTGACAAGGTCGGCCTGGTGAAAACGAAAGTCACACTAACCACAAAACTGTACTGGAGAGAGAGACAGATAGCATGGGGCAAAATATGAGCCTGGGGTCAGGAGGTACCTGGAGCAGGCTGCCTGGGACACTAGATTAGTAATCAGATATTTTCTTTTTTTTTTTTTTTTAAGATTTTATTTATTTATTTGAGAGAGAGAGAGAATGAGAGAGAGAGAGCACGAGAGGGAGGGGGGTCAGAGGGAGAAGCAGACTCCCCACTGAGCAGGGAGCCCGATGTGGGACTCGATCCCAGGACTCCAGGATCATGACCTGAGCCGAAGGCAGTCGCTTAACCAACTGAGCCACCCAGGCACCCCAGTAATCAGATATTTTCTTTGTGAGCATGTAATCAAACAAAGAGAACTGGATATCGTTATAGGAGATTTCACCCAAGTTACAGGTCTAATGAACTAAATGTAGGCCACTTATTATACAGTAAAACTTTCTGGTAACTAAAAACTGAAAACAGCTATGCCCTCTAGAAACTATGCATATTCCTTAAGGAATATCAAACATATAGGCAAACTCTCCTGAGCCAACTGGCATTTTTTAATATTCTTTTTTTGGTAAGATTTTATTTATTTATGGGGGTGGGGGGAGGAGCAGAGGGAGAGGGACAAGCAGACCCCAGGCTGAGCTCAGAGCCTGACACTGGGGTCCATCTCAGAAGCCTGAGACCATGACCTGAGCTAAAACCAAGGTTCGGACACTTAACCAGCTGCACCACCCAGGTGCCCCTAATACTCTTTTATGTCTTTAAAGATAGTTGTCCTTATTCCCTCATTGCAGTCATGTCAAAATTCCCAGGTTGCAGCTAATCATCAGAAAATAATAAATCAATGCTTTCCTTTGTGGTAAGGAACATTAGATTCCCTTGTGAGATTTGGAAAGCCCATTAGTCTTATCAGCACTAACAATAAAACACACTTACTGGATAGATTATTTCCTAGGAAGGCTTTTTGACATGACTAATCTCATCAATATCATGATAGATGGGGAGTGGTTTTAGCACCAAAATCACTAGAGGTAGTTTGGATAATTCATTGCAGAATTTCATGTGGGCAGGAGATAAAGACAGTCCTTTAGGAGTCAAAAAAGAAGTGAAATTGTGACCTTATCCCCAGGTTTTGTAGGCCTACCCCATGTCCCCACATGATGACTACAAGTCTATTTTAGGTACTACCCCAGTGAAATTTAAATACTGATATATGAAAGGCTTCAGTAAAAGTGCCCCAGGGGTATGAAATACATATAGCCATTATTAACAGGAAGTGGCTTTGCCTTCTAAAACACGCACAATGCTGAAGATTTACTTCTTCCATGGCCTTGCACAATTTGTAAAATGCAATGCCACCTAAATCCCTAAAATACAGATAGATCTCCACTATGCACACCCCGTAAACTATGGACTTTTTAAAGGGTAATAGCTATCATTTTAGTGACTAGAATGGAAAAAAATATAAATGAAAACTGATGCTTCAGTGCATAAGGTGCACTTTTCACACAATGCCCTCAAAGGAATTTCTAAGCATAACCACATGTTGACAACAGAAGCAATAGAAAAGTAAAATAATTTCTTTCTTTGTTATTGTCATATTTTCCTTCAGACACATCCATATCCAACATAAAATGTCTTCTTCCCCAGTGTAGAACAATTTTTTTTTAAGTTTTAGTTGAACCAATACATGATGTCATTCAAGAATAACATAAAAGGGAAAATCTAATAGGACTAAAGACGTATTCATCTTCCTGGGATACTGGGTTGGAGAAAAAGATCAGGGATAAATTCCTGGCTGCACACACGTCCTCAGAAGCACCACCACAAAAAGGGCAATGCTTTGGTATCCACTTTTAGGCTGGGAGTACAGTGTTAGCACGGGGTTCTTTTCATTGCTCCTACCTAGCATCCTCTTACCGAACCAAGGAGTTAGAGAGATTTTTTTTTTTTTTTGTACAGAATTTAGGTTGGAAAAGGATTTGAAATTACACTAGTCACATGATGCAACATTTAGATGAAGAGCCACGTGTTCGCCAGGGTAGATTGCTGAATCCCCTGCTCAGAAAAGAAAAAAAAAATTTTTCTCTTTACTGCATACCGTGGCCAAGTTCCAGTGGAGCCCAGAAATGAATCGCTATGGTGATGAAAAATCATTTTCCACACAAAGCAGAAACAGATGCATGTTAATACCATTGCACTTGTTAAATGCCAGTTTAACACTTTCAGTTGTCAATGCCATTTAAAAACACATCTTAGTTCCTATCCTTGGGAAACTATTTTAATAATTGAAATCAGACCAGAAAAGATTAACATCTCACCCTAACTATGGTTTCAAGCACTCAGAACTCTCTGAGACTGTCCCCCTCTCACTGGACAGCCGAACAATAACTGAAGAAATTGCGTTTCCCCATGCCATGTAGGGTCACTGTTCGTTGCTCAGTTTCCGGGCTGCAATGCCTTCCTGTCTTCTAGTCCCCTAAAAGTTCTCTTCCTTCCCATGGTGACACCCACACTCACAGATGGCCACTAGCCTCCTGTTAAGAAGAGACATCGCAAGGCTTCAGCTTCCACACTATGCCAAGTGCAGTCCCGAGCATTTTCTTGGGTTGGCCAGCAAGCAGTTTGCTTTTCTCTGCTCACCCTTCCACTAACTGTAGATAATAACATTTCATTTTGATATACACTCAAATTTATCTCTACCCAGGCAGCTCTCCCTCAAAGCCCTCTTGCAGCAAACAGTGAAGAGCACAGCCTTTAAAAGTTCTTGAAAGCATTAAAGAAAAACTTCCCTTTACCTGGGGTGTGGTCTGAATGCTCCCTGCTAAGACGCACGAGTTCATTTGGAGGTAACTGTTCCCGCAGTCACTCAGAAGCCCCTGTTCTGGAAGCATTGATTCATCACATAAGGGAGTGAGCAAACCGATGACTGAGGTGGGAAGGGAGCCTCTCACTAAAACAACACAGACTCACACAGAAAAAAAAGAATTCTAAAAAGAGGTAAAGTGGCCTCCTCCCTGAATTGAAGAATTCTGTCAGCTCCCAAGAGTAGATTTATGTGTAGATAATTTTTAGATTTGAGACTTCATGAGAGGTCATGTTGACTGCTGAAATGAAGCCAGGGGAAGTAAAATAAGAAAAAAATAAGAAGAAAGAAAAGAAAAAAAGCCACCTATATGTGTTTGCCCTCTTTTCTTGTCACGCATGTATTCCAATTACATATTCTACGAAAAGAGAGAAGCCAGATTGTGCAGGGACAAGAAGCTGATTGAAAGGCCCGAGCATCTGCCAATCTCAGCAACCAGTTGGTCACACTCACTGAGAACATTTAGAGGTACAAATACGTGCAAACACTGTGCCTAAATAAAGCACTAGAAAACACACAGCAATCATTTCAAAAAATCAATAGCATTATCGGTCTTTGGCATGTAAATGCAAGCAGCAGGAGCATCTGTAGTGACTGAAGTGTTGCTATTAATCACATTAGCTCTAGAATGAAGTTTGGAGTCAAATATTTGTTGAAACAAAATTCCCTTCCGAGGTTCCTGGAAGACAGTGAATGCAGACAAACAAACCTCAAAACTTCACACGTGAAATTGGAGAGTCTTCAGCTTTCAGTGGTTCTAATTTTTTTAAGTATTGATTTTTCTCCAAATCTGTAATATCTATATTTGTGCTTTGGCAATGAAAGATGCTGTGGCCCAAGGGCTGGTTATAGACCAAAGGCTATGGGGAAGGAATGAAGATTTTATTTCGGGGACCTGGATTATACCTCTTAACATTTTCAACCTTATCAAAAGCCAGAATTTGTGGAAACATTACAAGTAAAATAATTGCCAAAAGTGATTCTACTAGCACACTGGCAAAAATTCTTCCAAATAACACAGCACTTTTTGACCTAGAAAATTCTCCAAATTTCTGAATAGAAGTGCTGTTACATCACTAGCCAAATTATATGCCTTCCTCAGGCTATGTGTATTTATGGATACTCAAAAGAAAATCTAACACCCTTTATGGATACTCAAAAGAAAATCTAACACCCTTTATGGATACTCAAAAGAAAATCTAACATCCTCCTGCCCTCAAAGAGCTTACAATCCAATTGAGAATAGAAAACAGATATACAAATAACAGAAATGCAAAGCAAAAAAAGAAAAGAAAGTCCCACACTGGAGTTCTCAAACTTTATGCACAGACCACCTGGAGAGCTTGAGGAGATCTGGGATGGGCGCTCAGATTCTGCATTTCCAACAAGCTCCCCGTTGATGCCCTGCTGCTTGTCCACAGAAACTTTGAGTAGCAAAGACCTGGGGGAGTTATTCAAGTAATTCAAGCAGAAAGTGGCATTGGGACTGCACTTCAAAGGATAGGGGAATGGGGACTTAGGAAGGTGGGATAGAGTAACACTTATTTCAAGCAGAGGTAAAGCCTTCAGTGAAGGCTGCTATCAGAACAGCAGTACTATAACAAGGAGAGTCACAAAGGATGAAACCCTAGAGTTGATCACTCACTGGCTGTGGGACCCAGGGGGATCTCTCAAAGACAGTCCTTTCTCCTGTGAAATGTGGATACAATTGTACTTATCTCACACGGTTCTCGAGAGGATTATGGTAAAATCATGTAACCCCTAGAGATCACATTCATCTCACACAGTTCTAGTGAGTGGCTCCCTAAGGGGAAGCAGCAGTCGAGTCCCTTGTCAATAGTTCGATCTGTTCATTCCAAGTAGACTCAAACGACTATGAAGCTCTTCTCCCATGCTTCATCATGTCCGCCCTCTGGTCTTTTCTCTCGTTCCTTCCCCCAATCAAAGCAGTACTTATGCGTGTTGGCAAGTCAACTTTGGAAGAGGAAATACTTCAGCCCCTATCTTTTGCCCAATTTGAATTCTTCCTTGAGTCATTTTATAACATGAGAACCAATTAAATTAATCCATTATTTTGCTATTTGGCTCTGTGTCTTACTGGCAACTTTTCTCTAATCATTTTCTTTCCCTGGTTTTATTAATAATTGTTGGTGTTGTAGACTATTTGTTATATTGATAGAAGTAATAATTGTTAGTTAAAAAAAAACATAATGGTCATGCATTATAACAGCATGCTTCAGCCATCTGGTTAGTAACTACATATAGCCTCAAAGAGCACATGTATTTAGGACAATTTCTATAGAAACCATCCTCATTTGAATAGAAAATGATGGCACCTGTTCAAAAACAGGCCCCAGTCCTGGATTATGAAGAGCAAGTTAAGTTACTCACACAGGATGGAGGAGTAGGGAGGAAGAAAGTGTCTATCCTCCAATTACAACGACTTTTCCTATCGGTAAGAACATCACCTAGGGTCTGCCCAAGACCCTGAAGGATTTATAAACACAAATCTTTTTTTTCTTCACAGTTTAATGTAGGCATTTATTCAATTAGGCTAAAGCCATCACATAAACATACATGTTTATTTCTCCATCTTTTTATATAAACACAAAGTTTTTAATGATCTCTCTCTCATAAATAACACAGAATGCTCTGTTGAATAATCTTTTTCCAAGAGAAAATAAAATTTGTCAAAGTTTGCAACAATTACAATCCAAATTCTCTTTAAATTTTGACATTATTGATGGCTAAAGTAGGACATCTTACTAAATAGATATTACTGCAGTAACTTCCAGCCAAAAGACTCTTCAGATACTGCTTTTAAAATAAACAATATAAAACAAATAATCTCTCTTCTTGACACAGGAAACAAATTTAAGGGAAAAAATAGATTAGCGCACAAAAGTTTGCCAAGAAACATGTGATTAAACAGATCCAGCTGCCAAGGCTATTCAGATATCCATTTGTCTGTTCCTATACCCTGTATTTGATGAAAGAATGTACTAGAAATCCCATTTATTTGTATCCATAAACATCTGTGGAGTACCAGGCACTATTCTCAGCTATGAGAGACACGAAGACAAAGAAGATTTGGACTTCTTCTCAACATGCATGACAGTTTCATGAAAGAGACACAAGTTACACGGGTCATGAGCGAAGTCAGAGGACAGTGCAAGGTGATGTGCAGAATACAGACGCCATGGGGAAGTGGTTTCAGGCCATTCCCGGGGAGACTGCACTCTTAGCTTCTGCACTCTTAGTTCCTGTTTCTGGTGATCAACACTGGAACACTTACTCTGTTTTTAGCTCTGGTTGGTGTTTTTCCTCTGAACACGGGAATCACCAAGAGTTTGGATCCCTGTCTCTAGGGCAATAGGCGATTCCAGGGATCCTAATCAGGACCATCTCAATTCACAGACTCAGAATTTAGTGTATTAGTGTATTATATTTAAAGTGAATTCTGACCTCTCATCAAAAATATGTGAGACTCCATCACAGCCTAAGTTTGTCCCCATCTTTATCAGGCATCTGTATTGGCCTCAACTGGATTGCTTCTACTCCTGTTACTACTGCACTCATAGATTCTTTCCTCTTTGGGGTTTATACTCCTAGTTAATAGGATACTGGTAACCCTCCTTGATTCAAATACACTAGAAGCTTCAAAGTATTGAGGAAAACATAGCACCTAAGTGAGACTGTGACATAATTAGATAGTCAGGAAAAATAATAAGCCTTGTACATGGCAGAATTTGAAGGGAAAAGAGACAATGATAAGAAACATTTATCCATCAGGAATAAGGGTTTGGTGGTCATTCTCTCCTTGTTGAATTCACTTTCTCCGTTTGGCTTCTGGCACCATTTCCTTTTGGTCCTGTTCCTACCCCCTAGACACTCCTTCTCTGCCTGCTTTGTGCCATCCTACCCTTAAGTTTTAAAGTAGCCCAGAAGTCACTCCTTGGATAATCTCATCCCATTCTATAGCTTTAAATAATATTTATAAGCCAGTGAGTTCCAAATTTATTTCCCCGTCCTGAATGGCCTCCCTGGATGATATACTCATGTATCCAACGAGCATCTTCACTTGGATATCTCACTGATATCTGAAACTGAATTATTTGTCTTTCTCCTAAAACTGTTCCCCACCAGACTCCCCCCCCAACTTTTCCCCACCTCAGCATATAGTTCTACAACTATTTCTCATTGCTCAGGCTAAAAATGATGAGCTCACATCAATTTTTCTTGGTTTCCCATAATCCCCCATCGATATATCAGTATTAGTGAATATACACAATCTTGATTTATCTATCCCCGCACCAATTTATCAGTATATCTCCCTTCAAAATAAATCCAGAAAAATGTTCCTACCTTACTACTTCTTCTAACATCCTAGTACTGCTACCATCATCTCCTTTCCAAATCACTTCCTCCTTATTAATCCCCTGCTTCCAATTTGCATCCTATAATGGATGCTCTGATAAAAAATCCTTACCTCCCCTCAGGCCAAAGGACTATTCCCCAGCTGCTGGAAGTGCAGTAACAGTGCTCAGCTGTCTATCCTCTCCATGAATTGCTCTCAGCTGAATGAAGCTCCTTGCCCAAAGCCACTCCCCCTTTTCAGGGGTAGCCTGCATCCAATGGCTACTTGATATACCTATATAAAGGCCTGGCACTTTCCTCCCAATTTAGGGCAACTCTAAAGAGCAATCCCAAATTCAGAGCTCCTCATGAGGTCAGTTAAGCTTTTGTTGGGTCTGCACTGCAACCCAATTCTCTCTCTGCCTTATGTTGCTGCTGTCCCATTCCCACAGGTGTTGTTCCTTAGAGCACTTCCATGAGGGTAAACTTCCTGTAAGCTAACTCCACCTCAGAGTCCACTTTCTGGGAACCTGGTCTGTCATCACCTCTCCCTATAGTTATTTGCCACACAGTAGCAAGGTTGAGCCTTTAAAACAGATGTCAGACAATGCCACTTTCGTATGCCATACCCCCCCAATGGCTTCCTTTGTCACTCAGAGGATAAGCCAACAT